TTTTTTTTACTTGTTGAGGATACTGAATTAATTTTCTAGAGCTACCCTAAAAAAGAACCACAAACTAGCTGACTTAAACAGAAATTTCTTGTCTTACATTTTCAGAAGGTAGAAATCCAAGCTCAAGGTGTCAGTAGGGTGGGGCTAATCATTTCAGAGGTTTTTTCTAGCTCCAGGTGGTTTTCAGGTAATCTTTGGTATTCTCGGCTTGTAAAGGCATCACCGCAGTCCCCATCTTCATCTGCTCACGATACTCTCTCTGAGTCCCATGACTCTCTTGCAACCGCAGCTCTGTGCCAGTTGTGAGCCCCACCCTCTCTGCAGTGTTCCTGAGGCAGGTGGAGTTGGCCAATTTAGAAACTGACCTCTTTCTCAGCAAGCTCCCCCCAGGGCCTCATCCAGGATTGATGGCTCAGGAGGGCAAAATAACTCCCAGAACAGACTGGAACAAATTGGCAACCTGCTTTGAACCAATACATGGTTCAAAATTACAAGGTGAGGATGTATAATAATCATAGCTGAAATTGGTTTCAAGAATTCTCAAACTACCCATTGAGATGAGTTCTGAGTGTGGTGCTGTGTACTGCATTTATCACATCTGAAGGGCTCGACAGCTCCTAAGGAGATAAACACAGGGAAGATGGACTGGAAGATGCGTGGGGCTGAATACAAAACAATTCTGCTTGTTCTGGCAACTGAGCACAGGCAACTTCGTGTTTAGGGCCAATGTTCTTGGTAGATAGTTAGCACTGTGCTGGTGGACGCATGTCCCAGTGCCAAGACATGACTTCCCGGGTTGTTTGGGAGATGCAGTGTCTACTTGGTAAGGAAAAGAAAAGGTGGATGGAAGCAAAGGTGCTGAAGAACACAGATACTCCTCTCAGACCCCAAGTCTCCACTAATGGAATTTTGAGTTGCCATTTGGGAGCAAGGCCAATAGGTGCAGATCATTTGCTTTTTCAAGAGAAGCTATGAATCTGGAATTTTATTAACATGAAACTGCTAATTTTAAAAACACTAGCCAGTAACTCAGTGTTTGCACTTTGCTTGTTTATTGTTTTAAGATTGAATAGACCAAAGAATATATATTGATAAGTTAAATTTATTCTTTGCACTTCACTTTAGAACTCCTGTTCATGAACAATCTTTTGTTTTAAAGCATCAAAATTTAATATATTAACTAAACAATCAGCTACATAGCTATTATTGCCTAGTTCTTGAAATCTGTACATTTAAAGACCTCACCTCCGTCCATTAACCCTAGACAATCTGAATCTAAAAATTCCAGCAGTAAACAAGAGTGATTCATGGGTTTCCATAGCATCTTCCAGACATGTGCCTGCACCTGCTCTCCTGGTGAGGTGGTTCTCTGAGACAGCAGAAATTAGCCTTTTGTTATAGTTGCTGTCAGTATCATCAGCATCATTACTATAACAGTGATAATAGCTTCCAATGACTATTTATCTTGATTATAGTATGCATTGTATTTGACTGTTGTCTTCCATAACCCTCGGAGCAGCCTTAAAATGCAGGTACTAATTTCTCGTAATTTCCAGACAAGGCAGTGATGCTTCATCACTGAATCATACAGTGTTAATAACAATGGCAGATTGGCGAATTTAAGCTATTTATCATGGTTTTTATAGTTCAACCCTTCCCCTATATAGTTCAGTGTAGGAGTGAAGGGCACATGCTCCTACAGTTTTTCATTTTTAAAAATTTTTGTGAAGTTGTATTATAAATTCTCACATCCCCAAGGGCATTAGAAATAATTCAAGTCAAAATAAAGCAAGAAAAGAGAAGGAAAAGAGTAAAAGAAAAAAATTGAAGTTTTCTTTTTATATTGCACTTTTTGGAAAGAAAAAATTGCAAGGGGGCCACTTGGTGCTTAAGAACAGTTGACATGAGCCAGGGCCTCTTTATGATTCAAATTTCAAAACTGAGCCAGCCTGCCTGCAGCAACCAGCATGGAAATGTGTTCAGCCATACATTGAAGATTGTTTGCTTGAACTGACAAATTTTTACAAACAGAATCTGAGAGGTTTAGGTTAGAATGTAACAAGTAGAGAGAGAGAGACTGGAATGACTAAACTAGATGGAGAAGGAGTTTTTAAAGGCAGAAATATTGTGACAAACCAGGAAAATAAATACCTCCAGCCTGCCCTTTCCAAGCTTCAGGTGAGTTGTAGAAAGTGTGGGAAATCAATGAGAAATGTAATTGTGTTGTATACCTACAATGTACCAATAAAAGAATTTAAAAAAAAAAAAAGAATTAAAAGAGTCATACCACAGTGATATATGTGCACCCATGTTCATAGCAGCACAGTTTGTAATAGCTAAAGCTTGGAAGCAGCCCAAGTGCCCATCAACTGGAAAATGGATAAAGAAGATGTGGGTTTTTTTATATAAAGTGGAGTACTACTCAGCCATAAAGAATGAAAAACTATAGTCATTTATAGCTAAATGGATGCATATCGAGGCCATACTCTTAAGTGAAATGAATAGGAGACACGTGTAAATACCGAATAGTTTCTAGTGTGAGAAACTGATAGTGTAAACAAGGGTTAAAATGATTAAAATGAATAATTGATAATTTGAAATAGGAAAAAAGGTCCAAAGACGAAGGGGTGAAGGGAAGGGGAAGGGGAAAGGAAAGGAGGGAAAGGAAAAACTATGAGAAAAGAAAAAAAAATGGAAATGATGTCTATGTAAATAGGGAAGGGTGCACTGGTAATGGGGAAAAAATAAGAACCAAGATACATCATGTACAGGTACAAGCACCCAATGATAAATGTAAATGTATTGTATACCTAAAATGTACCAATAAAAGAACTTAAGAAAAAAAAAAGAAAGTGTGGGAAACATTGTTTCCTCACTAAGGGTCTCCAAAACCGTTACTTGGTAGCTTCAACTTAGTAGCAAGCAAGTCTGATTATACTGGTCCATGAAGTATGGTTCTTACCAAAAATTAGTACTGTTATTATTTTAAACTGAATTTGGAAGCTCAGTCTTAGAACATGGCTTTTAAGTGTTTTGTTGACATCTTAGTCACAGCATTGCTGGTTGAGCTCAGTCTGCAGCTGGCCATTCCCCTTGGCCCTACCTTCCCCTGTGCTTGCCGGAATCTTTTATCTCTCAATGGAGCTGATTTCACAGAGTTATTATACATCAGTGAGTGATTATGCTTGATTGAAACAAAATAAAGAGGGAGCATGCTACATCAATGTTATTTTCTTACATAGAGGAAATTGAAAATAGGTTTTGAGAAGGCAAAAAATTTAAGCTAAAAAAAAGTGTGTGTTCATGGGTAAGAATTTTCCCATTCTGGTTTTTTCCAGGTAAAATGATCACTTAATAAATATGTATAAATATGTGTCTTAAAAACTGTCCTGAGAAATCTGGGCTTGGTGGTACACATTTTAATCCCAACATTAAGATCCTGAGGTAGGAGGATACCAAGATCAACCCTAGTCTGGGCAACTTACTGACTTCACAAGACCTTGTCTCAAAATTTTAAAAAATTAAAAGGGCTGAGAATGTAGCTCAGTGCAGAGGGCCTAGGTTCAATCCCCAGTACCTCAGGAAAAAAAGAAGAAAAGAAATAAAATATCTGGTCAAGTGAATAAGGAGATTCCACGGATAGCTACTTGTATAGAGTATTATACTAGATGCTGGCAGAAAGGATTTATTATGTGGACTAATTCTGATTCTTACTCTGAGAGGGACTTGCAGCCTTTCAAGCAAGTCCTTGGGCCTTGTGTTCCTCTCTTTAGAGGGTGGAATAATAATTGCTGCTTCATATATCCTACAGAGCTAATGCGATCATTGCACAGAATAATGACTTGAAGCCCTTGGAAATCCACTGAGTATTATGCGGTTGCATCCTTAAGAAACCTGTGTTGAGGTCAGACATACAAGGCTTAAAAATGTAAAACAACCAGCACCGGGCACTGAGTGGTCCATTTTCAAGTGCCAAGTGTTTTAACAGTTGACTTTAGGGGCCGGGGATTTAGCTCAGTGGTTTCGCTGCCTGCTGCTCAAGCGCAAGGACCCGAGTTCAATCCCCAGTACCAAAAAAAAAGTTGACTTAGAATGTCATTGAAAATGAAAGTTAAAATAGACCTATGTGATAAAAGTATGGATTATTCAAAATATCTAAACTGTGCGTCACCTACATATGACTTGCAGCTGCTGAGACAGATAAAATGAACATTTTGTAGTCATAAATTCTAAGGAAGGACTGTCCTATCAGGATTGCCCCAGAGCAATCTAGCTGCCTGTGCTGGGGCTTCCCCTACAGAATGTGGAAGGCAGGGAAGGGGACGAGCCACTACCACAATGTATATATTAGCACCACGCTAAGGGACTGACCTAATTTTGGGGGAACGGGTATATCCCACCTTTGATTAACTCTTCATCTTTTAATTTCAGAAAAGGTCTTGGATCTATGAACATGTGTGAGTATGGTGATTATTGAGCTTTTAACCTCTTTCTGCCAGCCATAGGCAGGGATTATAATATTTGAGAGAAACTACATGAATTATAATATTTTCTAAATAGAATGGAAAAGGTTCAGTATAATTAACTTAATATATTCCAGAGACTATGTAAACATTTCACATTAATTTAATAATATCACAACTCTAGAAAAAAGACAATATTACCATTGCTAAAGAAATTTGGTAACTTATTTAAATCATTGCATTCTTGTTGGCTCTCATTACCCAAGATTCAAAGCCAAAGAGGTTTCAGTTCAACTGCATCATGGTTTATGTCTTCAGTTCGTGAAGGTAAGTGGGTGGTCCTGAGCCCCAGCTTGTCCCCTACAGATACATATTTTCATGGAAAACGAAAAGAGCACTGAAAGCAGATGTAGAGGGAGAAGACAATGTTAGCTGTATGTCCAGCTGCCACTGGACCTGTTTTGATCAGCTGTAAACCTGACCAGGAGAATGAAAGCATTGTTTTCTGCTAGACTAACATCTGTCTCTCTTTCCTAGTGCTCTGTTTCCTGTGGTGGTGGAGTGAGGATTCGCAGTGTCACTTGTGCCAAGAACCATGGTGAACCTTGCGACAAGACAAAGAAACCGAATAGCCGAGCTCTGTGTGGCCTTCAGCAGTGCCCATCAAGTCGGAGAGTTCTGAAACCCAACAAACCCACAATTCCCAGTGGGAAAAATCTACCAACATCTGACCAAGACCCCTTAAAGCTCACCCCTCCACCTTCATCGCAGCCCACACTGCTGACCACACCCACAGCCCCTGGGGCTAGAAGTGCAAGCACGCTGGGGATCAGCAGCCCCAATTCCACCACAGCCTCCAAAGAGGGAGACCTGGATGGAGGTCTGGATGGAGAATGGTGGCAGAATATGTCAAGTCAAACTGAACTGGACTCCCACTATCTCATTCCCACTGGAAGCACTTCTCAGCCCATCCTCACTTCCTGGTCTTTGGGTATCCAACCCAACAATGAAAACGATTCTAATTCAGATAGCACTTTTACCTCAGATGGAGACATTGTAGCTACAACAAGAAGTGCTTTTGACTTGTCATCTTCCAGCAATGCTACGACTTGGCAGATAACTCCATTCTATGATACCTTGACCAAAGATCCAGAAATGGAAATTCACAGTGGCTCAGGGGAAGACAGTGAACAGCCTGAGAACAAAGATGAAAGCAACTCTGTAACATGGACCAAGATCAGAGTACCTGGAAAGGATGATCCAATGGGAAAAAATACAGAAATGCCACTTGGAGCTCCACCAACGCCTTATGATGGGGATGAGTCCTTATGGCATCCCTTCAGCACAGTGATGGAAGGATCACTACCTAGCCAAAGACCCAGAACCCTTAAAAATGAACCATCCAGAGCTGAGGGAATGGCCACTGAAAAGCCAAGTAATGCCCCATTCCCTGTTGAAGAAGAGCAATGGCCAACACCCTCAGAAAAGTCAATAAATCATAACTACCTGGGACTTCCAAACAACAAGAATCAAACACAAGATCCTGGACCAATCCTGACTGAGGAAGATGCAACCAGTCTTATCGCTGAAGGTTTTTTGCTGAATGCCTCCAATTACAAGCAGCTTGCTAAGGACCACAGCCCTGCATATTGGATTGTTGGAAACTGGAGTGAGGTAAGAGGTCTGATTTTTTCTACCCTAGGTCTGATTCTACATAGAAAAGACTAGAAGTGTTGCATTCCCATGCAAAGTCTAAAAGAAACTCTCATCAAATGACAGCCTAATGTGGAAAAAGTAAAGCAGTCAGGTGTATGCTAACACCTCAAATGAAAGGAAGAAAAGGAGCACATATAATAAGGGGAGGAGAACGTATGTGGTGAGATGCAATAAAAAGAAGTCTGGATTAAGTCAGGAGACCTTGTCAGTCAGCTGTGTGATTATGGAGAATTCAGTCATCTTTCTCAGCCTGCTTTTTCCCTACAAAATCATATGGCCAGTGTAGAGGAGAATGATAAGGCTAGCAAAGATCATCTCTACTGCTCCTTGGGGTTTTAAAACTTCTATGATGAAGCATGGCTGAAAGAGTCTAACTTCGTATTTTAATCAGAAAGCCAATGACCAGACCTGGTTTAAAACTTGTGAAGTAGGATTGGGGGTGTAGTTCAGTGGTAGAGGGTTTGCCTAGTATGTGTGAAGCCCTGGGTTTAATCCCCAATACTAGAAAAAAAAAAGAAGTAATCACAAGTGGACTCACTTCAAAAGAATTTTATAATTCACTCTATCAGTGATATTTTTCTCTTTTGTCTGAGTATTTACATTAAAAAATCACTGTAGTTCATTGAAAGAGTTGGAATGAATAAAATAAATGCATGACAAAATGTTGGCCCTCATTTTTAGACTTCTGAAAACTGGCTAGATATTTTTTTCCATTTCTAGAAATAATGATATCCTTTGAAACACCAAAATCATTTCGCACCTACATGAATTTCCATTGCACAGTGTATGAACTTGTTAAAATAATGTGACAACTCAAAAGAGTGTTTTGTGGCCAAGTAATCACATGGTGAAATCATTCAGCATTTTTATGACATTCCATGTCTCATCTTCCTAGCTAAAGATATGTGAAATCTTAGTGGCTAATAAAAAATACCAGTCATAACAATTATAAAGCATGTTACTTTCTAAACTACTTTCATATGTAGTCTCATATATTGTTTTGACAATCCTGAAGAGTAGGTAGTGTCTTATTTATACTAATTTACAAATGGAGGAACAGAGATGTTTAATGGTTAAGCGACTCATCTAAGGACATGCTTTTCAGTTGGATGATGAACATTTTAACTTGTCCTTTCTCTCTAGTGAATTTTGGCACCAGCTGACAATTGTATAGAATAGTTTTGAATAAACTAACCAGCCACACTGGTCATAGACTTGATTATACTAGTAATAAATAGGTGAATTCAACCCTCCCCCATTTTTTGCACTAAATGCTATAAATATTTACATTTGAATTATGATTACACATTGATTGATGTTTTATTTCTAAAGTGAGCTATCATATGTTCTATCAAGGATTAATCAATCTTATTATCTCTATTCATAGGAATCCAGCTTCAAGAATAACAAAGATTTTCATGCTTACAGTAATGTAATTTGCTGAAAGAAGGAGACAAATGACTCTCATGAGGCATTTTAGTCATATTTCTTTCCTAATCTCAGCAATAGGAAGATGTTGGTGGTGAACTTTTACAAAGCATGCTTTATAAGCATGATTTTATGCTAATTAGCATGACATGGCTCATTTAAACCTTACCACGACCATAGGAGATTCGTAATATTTTCCTGCTTTAGAGGTAAATAAACTGAATCTGAGAGAATTTAAGTAGCCAGAATCATGTGCACTCTAAGTGATGGAGCAGTAAGGAATAGACTGATGCTTTAAGGTTTACACAAAGAAATAGGATGTTGTTAATGCCTAGGAACAAAAGGCACAACAGTGGATATATTAGATTTGACAATCTGCAGGTCACAGGTGACTTTGGGGAGAACAATATCAGCTCTGAGATCCAGGGAAACACCAAATTGCAATAAAAAGGGGAAACTTTTAGGGGTCTATGATAGTCATCAGATTGAGCCCTACATTAGGACTTTGAATAAGACTGGAGGGACATTTCTTTTTCCACAGCTTAATACAAAAGTTTTCTTTAAAAAAATAGCTATGAGATCACCCAGAAATTAGTTTTCTTTCCTATCCTCTCATCTTTTCATCCATCCTCAAATCCCAGAACAATTGTGCAATTGAATTTAAATGTGTTGTAATGATTTTTGTCCTGAGGATATTTAATATATGTTAACTGATAAATGTTAATTGACTCAATAAAAATTACTGCGTCCAAAATAAACTAAACCACAATAAAGTGCACATCAACCACCATGACTGTTTGAGTGCAAAGATTAACACATTTTGATTATAGTAAATCAAGATACAAAAAATTCATTTTATTTCAGATGTCATCATTTGACTTTGACAGAAATAAAGTCTTAATACATCATAGCTTTGCAGAATGTCAGCAGCGGTGGTGGAGCCATTAATAGCTGTTAATTCCAAGCAGTTTGATTAAAAGAAAAAAAAAAAGAATTAGCCCATTGCGTAGTTTTCCAGAGTTATAAAAATACCAAGAATTGGAGTTCAGTGTTTAGTGGGAGTCCACTTCATGACAGGGCTTGGTGCCTTTATACACGTTTGTTTTGAGATAAGAAGTTTCATAATTAGAATTGCCAGAGAGGGTCAGGACTCAGGATGGAAGCTTTGGGTTTTGAGTTTCTCATCAGCCCTGAAACTGTTTCTTAAGGGTTGTCTCTTTTTAATGGGTTACTCACCTCCAGTGAACTCCAGAATCAACACTGATATCGACCTTCTCTGTCCTACCAAAAAATAAACTACTAATAGTTTTTCATATCAGTGTCACCTCATCATTTCTGCCATCTCCTTGATTTCCTGTTGGTTTAAGGCCCAGTGGTTTCCACTGTGATGGAGGAAGGATTTGGAAATGAGAACGGATGATTTTTCTAGTTAGGAAAGGGCACTGGAACCAACATTCAAAGTCTGAGAGCCAAGAATAATAAAGGGAAGTCCCTTATAAGGAAGAATTGTCCCGTTTAAGACGCCATTGGTACCCCAGTCCCTGAGAATGCAGGTCCCCTGTTCCTACTTTCACCTAGAACACTGCCCTTCCTGCCTCACTGGTCTATACACTCCATTCTCTCCCTTCTCAAGTCTTCCACACATGATTGCAAAAGATACGAGACTGCCAAGTCTGCCTTCCAAAAGGAATATTCTAATCATTCTACAGTTCTGCTTACAGGCATATGCAACATGTGGCCCATGGGCTGGACACACCTACGCTATAATAAAAATATTTTTAAAAATTTTGTTACTTTTAGACATTAATTATATTATTTATTTTATATTCAGGCTGAGACAATTCCTCTTCACTCAAGAGAGCCCAGGCAAATTAGGCATATCTAACCCTCAGGCCACAGGTTGGACAAGCTTGCATGGTTCCTCATTACATACCAAATCAGATAAAATCCACTGTAATTTAGCACCCAATGGCCCTCACAACTTTACATAATCTGGCTTTCAAACCTTACTGCCCCCAACTTTGGGTTGTCCATCTTACGCTTCAATAAATCTAAATTGCTCAATTTCCTTTAAACCTCTCCCTCTCCCCATCCAATGCTTTATTCATGCTGTTTCCTCTGCTTGGGATCTCCTCCCCTCTTCTCCCCTTTCAAATCCTACTTATTCTTCAGGATCAAGTTTTGAGCTCCCTCTTCCATAAAGCTTTTTGATCTCTAAGCCAGGAAGGCATGTTTAGTTCATTAGGCTTTGGCTGGAATCTTTCTTAAGATGGACTCCCACTTTTTGTCCTGCATTGCAAGACTGTCCAAGGCTCCCCTTATATATAACATACTTATTTTACTAATTGTGATTTCAAAAATTAAATAATTGGTGTAACAACTAAGTTAACACCATCAAGAGGCATAAAGCTTGAAACTGAATTTTCTGGATTTGAATCCTGACTCAGTTGCTAACTATATGTTCTTATTCTTTCTCAGTTTCCTCATCTATAAAATGTGAATGGTAATTCCTCACTCATAAGATTATGAGGTAAAAGGAATAATTGTCTGTAAGGTACTCAGAAGAGTGTCAGGCACATGGAAGGTACTCAGAAAGTGTTTTCTCTGGTCTGAATTTACAAAACAGAAAACTTAGGTGCCATGCAGTGTCCATATGGGTAGGGCTTTTATTTTGACAGAAATTCATCTCTCCTTGGATTGCTGCATGATGCAGTCAGTTCCCTTGGGCCAGTTAGATATAGGCTGTGCAGTCCTGTAGAATGAAAGTGACAGTATGATTTTCCACAGCCTTTCAGAGAAGCTTTCGCAGGATGCTGATGTGACCCTCAGAATCAGTTCCAATTCTGAATCCCCCAGCACCTGCTTCTTGGCCTGATTAATCCATTGCTGTAAGGTCACTAACTGTGACAGGATGAATAAAATAAATCTGTTCCTCCACCTCTTCAGATCCTTCTTTTCTTATCCCTTCACCCACTCCAAATTTGAAACTAATTTCATAAGTAAAAATCTAATTGAAAGAATCCCACTTTTACTATGTTCCATAGGCTTCCTCTTTTCAGCTTTCCTTTGAACTGTTGTTTGTTGCCTAAATAGAAACTGTCAAAAGAATTAAACAAATTTCGGTTCTTGAGTAGGACTAGATTCAGAGCCTCAGAGATAATGTACATTTATTTGCAATATAAATGAGATACAAACAACTACAGGCATCACTTGAGAGTTAATGAGATCGTCACTGGCCTGAAAATTTGTGACGTTCAGCATGACTCCTAAACCCTGTTGGTCTCCACTATCTGGAAACTGGGGTTTGCGATCTGTGCGAGCAGATGTGTAGTGCTGAATAGGTAACACTTGTAGAACACTGGCTGTGTGTGAAGCAGGGTACAGGGACAATCTCCTTTAGTCCTCACAACAACCCATTGAAGGAGGGAGGTCCTAGTGTTACCACCAGTTTTACAGGCTTTGGGGAGTTAGGAAGCTGTGAAAGATCACACTGTTTGCAACTGCAGAACTGTAATTGGACCCTCAGCTGTAAGACTGTACTGATCTCAGCCTGGTTGTCAGATGCCTGCTGCAGGGTCAGCTGAGCCTAGCTGGTCTGGGATGGACTGGGGTGGGTCACCTGGCTCTGTTTCACATAAACTCTCATCCTCCAGCAGGTAGTCCAGGTTTAGTCTCATGGTAAGGCAGAGGTTGAAGGGCTAGGATGGAAAGCAAGACCTTTGGAGAACTAGCACATCATTCACTACGTCCTGTCAGCCAAAACAAAAAACAGCCCCAATTCAAGAGCTGAGGAAACAGACTTCATCTCTTGATGAGAGAAGCTACAAAGAGCACACATGAAAGGAAGTATGCACCGCCTGCTGCACAAGCGCAAGGACCCGAGTTCGATCCCCAGTACAAAAAAAAAAGAAGTATGAAGAGTGGGGCCACTGGTGCAATCTGTGGTCATTGCACACCAGCTGTTATCATCTCTACTACATGTATGCATGGGTTGGCACAAATGAGAAAGACAAGCACTTATGAAAGACACAAATTAATTCTAAAGAATTTTAAGGTAGAGATGAGACTGCCTCTATATAAATGAGCCTTTGGTAAGATGATGACATGGGCTATTTCCTACTTCTTCCTTTCTATGATTCCACAATTTATGCATCTAAGGATTCTATTATGTTATACATATATTTGAATACATATACACTTGTTATTATTACAAAATTTCACACCAAATACAACATGAAATTTTTTGGAGGTTGAAGATGCAGCAAAAAAAACATAAAGGCTTATGTTGAATTAGATAATTCATCAAAAGAAACATTCAAAGTGGAGCTTCTTGAACGTCTCCTTTTAAAAGTTACCTCGGAGCTGTGTTCCATGTGTTCAGAGACAACCCCTCTTCTGAGAATAAGCAGAAGAGAGGACACAAGAAAAATGAATCCTATGTAGGAATAAGGCAGATAAAATGTAAGAAATTATGGGGGAAATTTTGCATGATCTTCCAGGTTACCCTGAGCTAAACCTGGGATATTGAAGAATTATAAAGAAATGAAAACACCTTGAGAGAAATGTGCTGTACACAAAGCAGAAGATGACTGATATAGTCGCCACCAGTGGATCAACCAGTGAAAAGCACCGTTTTGTAACTTCTTTCTAATTCTAAGTGTGGTCTGAGGGCCAAAGGCAATGACATGCCGGAAGACCTTGTTAGAAAGGCAAATATCTGCCCCATTGCAGATCTGCGGAGTCAGAATATGCATTTAGCAAGACCCCAGGTGCTTCCTGTGGACACTAGAGACTGAGGGACACTGCTGCAATGCACATCAGACTGGATTTTGGAGGCAGAAACCCCATCTTACTGGTTGGGCAAGTCAACTCTCTGAGCTTTATTTTTTTTAATCTACATTTTAGTGGCACCAGTCTACATCCTCCAGGAAGGAATTAGTGAGACAGTGGATTGCACTGCTAGGTGGGCAGGAGGTGAGAGGTAGATGCTGGGATCTCACATCCACTCTGAGCATTGGTGTGAAACACGGCTGTGTGCCTGCAGCCCCTCGCCTTCATGCCAGGATTCATTTTAAAGGCAAACATATTTCCACTTACACTGGATTTTTTTCCCCTACATATAAGTCAGGGATTCTCAACTCCAACTGTTTCCTAAAGGCAGCGGGGGACAATTTTTTGATACTGGTCCCTGGGCCCAGCACCCAGAGATTGAGATTAATTCGTGAAGGTGTGGGCCCCAGCGTTACTATCATTTCCACGCTCTGCAGGCTGTCTCAGCAGCTGGAGCAGAAAACCCCACCTCCAGGGTGCCGGTGACAAAGCGGCCCTCAGCCTCTGTCTTCTCTCTCCTCACCCTGCAGTGCTCCACCACCTGTGGGCTGGGCGCCTACTGGAGAAGCGTGGAGTGCAGCACGCAAGTGGACGCCGACTGCGCGGCCCTCCAGAGGCCCGACCCTGCCAAGAAATGCCACCTCCGCCCGTGTGCCGGCTGGAAAGTGGGCAACTGGAGCAAGGTAAGCTGTTAGGCTGCCTTGGGCTGGGAGGAATCAAAGGTGCTTTCTCTTCTTTCTCACCTTCCTGCCTTCCTTCGGCCTCTTTTCTTTTAGAAAATAAAGAATGGGGCCTGGGATTTAGCTCAGAGGTGCCGCTGCCTGCCGGGCCAAGCACAAGGTCGCGAGTTTGATCCCCGATACCAAAAGAAAAAAAAGGAAAATAACGAATGAATAAATCACAGGTGCTAAGTGTGGGCCAGAAGTCTTGGATGTACAGAGTTTTTATTAACCACACAGGTTTTTTTTTTTTCCATTAAGTTTATTGGTACATTTTAAGCATAAAATACAGTTCCATTCATCATTGGGAACTTGCACCTTTACGTGATGCATCTTGGTTCTTATTTTTTCCCCTTCCCCTGCCCTCCCTTCACCCCCTCCATCCTTCCCTATTTGCTAAGACTTTGTTTCCATTTTTTCTTTTCTCATATTTTTTCTTTTCCCTTTTTTCCTTTTCCCTTCCCCTCCCACCACCCCTACTCCTTTAGACATTTTCTTCCTATTACTCAATATCAATTATACATTTTAAAATTACAATATCAAAATTGAAAGGATATTACCACAGATTTTATGGAATTTAAAAGGACATAGAAAGAATATTACAAAAAAAAATCCTTTTTGAAATAAATTTGACAACTTCTAAGAAGTACCTTGGAAGACAAATTAATGAAACAGACTCTGGAGGAAATATAAAATTTGAATAGCACCTATTAAAGAAAGTATATTCCTAGTTTGAAAACTTATCTATAGGACAACAACAGGCTCATATACATTTTAACTGCTAAATTATATCAAACATTTAAAGCAGAAAAAAAGGAACACTTCTCCCCTCATTTTAGGAACTCAACATTGTGCTAATCCTAAAACTGGATAAAGATAATAGAAGAAAAAAGTATGAACATAGATAGAAATTTGTTTAACAAAACAAACTAGTAGAAGTCAGATCTGGCAGTATGTAGAAAGTGGTTTTGTTATAGGGATGGCAGTGTTGGTTCAGCATTGGAAGATCCACCCCCAAAAGTCATCATTTTAACAGAGGAAAGGAAAAAGCCATATGATCCTGTCAGGAGTTGCAGAAAAAGTATTGGACTAAATTCTACAGCTGTTCATGGTAAAAACTATCAGGAGACTAGAAGTAGAACAGAAACTTCTCAACAGATTAAAGACATGTACTCCATACTTCCAGCAAAAACACCTTATATGAATGGAGAAGATACAATGCTTTCTCCCTAAGGTGTAACCCACACAGTTTTAACTGCTTATCTTTTCCCTTACAAGATAAACTAGAATAGTTAAATTTGCATAATTAATTGCTTTGTCCAGTGTTATCTCAAAATTACTTCAATTTAGCATCACAATAAATAATTATATATTATCACATATATAATTAAATCACAGCTCAGCTGCTCTTCACAAAGCAAATACACAGTTTAATCTTCGAGACTTAAATTGAAAAGAAACCCAAGGCATAAAGAGTCATTTGGTTTTTTAAAATGTATTTGCATTATTGAAGAGTGATTTTACTGTCTTTGCTAACTTTACGGTTTGCTGTGCTGTCAGCAGAGTCCCTTGTGAAATGAATGTGTCAGATTACAGATTCCTTAGTCTTGGTGCTTTGGGGCACTAATCAGGCCCAATCTGCCTAGTACTGGGGCTGAGCCAGTACTTCACTCTGGGAGAGCCACGGAAGTTACAAGATGCTAGTGAGAGGCAGGGTTTCTGGGTGGCTGGAAGGCAGGACGAGCAGAGATAAGAGCTGTGTGTACAGCTTCTGAGCCTTAGAAGACCTAGGATTCCTCATGGGTCCCTACCCTCACCAGAGAACCCTTCCTGATGCAGGAAATGAGAAAAGAAAGAGCTACCAGGGAAATTTGGAGAATCTGGTGATCCTAGATGCTAGTTCTTCTTTCTAGTGAAAAGCTTGTGTCCCCAAATAGGACCATGAGATATATCACTGGATATCTTTGGTTCTCCTGGGTGACTTACTTTTCACACAGAAGCATGGAAAGTCAGTGATCTACCTTAGGAGCCCTCTGGAAACTAAGGCTCTGAGATTGGAAGAGAGGCTGCCCCTCGAGGAAATTGCCGTTCATTCTATTGACACCTGCCAACCTCACTGTTTCTCCCATTTTCCTTTCAAGAATGAATACAGGCTCTTCTTTCTCTCTCTCTCTCTCTCTCTCTCTCTCTCTCTCTCTCTCTCTCTCTCTTCCAACTCATAACAAACTTAGGAACCAGCAAGCACTGAGTGCCTAGCTACAAATTCTCTTCCATATCCTGAAAAATCTCAAGAATCCAAGGAACATGTTATATCCCTAACCTTGCCAGATGTTCAAGTTCTAAATATTCCTCTCTCTTGTCACTGGGAATAATGATTTCCTTGGACATTACAAGGCTTATAGAAAAGACAGATGCATGAAATAGGTTGTACTTCACAGAGGTCAACCCCAGCCTGGGGAATTCTACCCGGCATCCACTCTGAAAGAGACTGGGGAGCTCATCTCCGGAGTCAGGCCTCCTCAAGCCAGCAACGCTCTTCCCTTCCCTTCCCTTCCCTTCCCTTTCTCCCTCCTTTCTCTTCTCTCCTTCTCTCCTCTCTTCCTCCTCCTCTTCTTTTTCTTCTTCCTTCTCCTCTTCCTCCTCTCTCTGTTATCTTCTCCTTCCCTCCTGCTCTCCTTGGTGCGTTGCAAATACCCACTCTAGCACCCCATGTGGTTTTGTAGGCGCTGACTCTGCCACAACATCAAATTCTGCCAGTTTGTAATTACTTCCCACAGCATCTAAAATCTAACCCTCAAAATCACTTCATTCCTATAAGTAAAGAAAATGACCCTTCTATCAGTATAATAGATTAAAAAAACCCTAATGTCAAAGACGTTATTTAACTACTGATGGTCGTTTGCTCTGTTTTTAATTTTTTCATACTGCTCTAACTTTCCTAGGAATGATAATCTTGATGACTAAGTGAAGCTCCTTTATTTCTTTTTAGGTTCCTGGGACTGAACCCAGGGCCTTGTGCATGTCAGGAAAGTGCTCTACCATTGAGCTACACTCCCAGCCTTTTAATTTTTTTATTTTGAGAGGGGTTTCACTAAATTGCCCAGGCTGACCTTGAACTTATGAACCTCATCCCTCAGCTTCCCAAATACCTGGGATTAGAGGCATGAGCCCTTGCAGTCAGCAGCTTCACTAACTCTGTTAGCCTTTTTCAAGTTCACTCGAAGGGAACCTCCAAAACCTTCTAGATCCTTAGTTTTGCCTTTTAAAAAGATAGTTTAGAATATGGTAAGGTGACAGTTTGCTCTTTCACAGATACTTTTCCAGAAATAAAGATTCTAATTTTACTTTGCTGTTCTGTATTATTACAGTATTCTCTACCCCAGATCCAAAGACACTTTAATTCTCATGGGATTACAGTCTATGGTGCAGCCTCACCTAGACCCACAGGTATCATACCTGAGGCACCAGGTTGCTCACCAGGAACACCCACCACTGTGATGACTGCCTAAATTGCAACTGTTTGACTGGCCTGCCCCTAAAACCACTCTTCTCCTTGGCAAATCCTAATATAATGACGGTGAATATTTTCTTATAAGTATGACAGGAGAATGAGACTGCCCATCCCAGATCTCCACCTTTGCAATATCTAGACGCAGCTTACCAGAATGGCTTGCTTCTTGTTTTATTAATCTGTCTGAAACAAAGTCCAAGTTGGAGTTCTATCATGCTCTTGGTTGTAGACTTGGGAAAACATAGTACCACAGAGTTAAATTCAAGATGCAGTGGTAAACTTGGAATCAAACAAATTTGGCTGGCAGCCCCACTCTGCTACTAATTACCATGTACACTGGCCCATTCATCTAACTTCTTAGATTTTTGTTATTCACCTCTGAAATGAAGTTGATAATATTGCCTCCACTTACCTTGTACAGTTGTAAGGATCAAAAGTGTGTTAGTCATCTTCCCATCACTGTAATAAATACTGGATATAATCAATTTATAGAGAGCAAAGGTTTTTTTTGAGTCACAGTTGACTCACAGAAATTGCTCCCATTGCCTTGGAGCCTGAGGCAGGGCATAATAGTAAGGAGCACATGGTGGACAAAAAGCTCCTCACCTCATGACTGGCAAGAAAAAAGAGGAAGAGATCAAGGTCCCACTATCTTTTTTAAAAGCATATTCCCATAACACAAAGAACTTCCAGTAGATCACACTTCTTGAAGATTTCACCAACTCCCAAAACACCAAGCTGGTAAACAAGCCTGTAACACATGGGCCTTCAGGGGACCTTTCAGGTCTGAAGTATAACAGTGTGCAGAACACCTTCATAAGTGGTAGAATGTTCTGAACAAGATTTGAGCTCCACGTGAAAGTTAGAGCTGACTATTAGGCATCTACTAACCTCTGGCTTCCTGAACTTGGGGCAGGAGGCTGCTGGACCTGCAATCGTGCAATAAGGTCTCTCAGTGGAATCCTGGCCAGAGAAGGTGCTTACTTTCCTGTACTAAGCAGACAGGTACTCAGAGTAT